GGCTAAGTTTCTTAGAACCACCAGGGGGCTGGGTTGGACATCTGTGGCCCCTGGGATGGGCTCTGCAAGCCCTGCATGGGGGGTCTCTGAGACCCTTGGCTGGGTTCTGTGAGCCGTTGGGTGGGGGGAGAGCCCCGGGGGTGGGGTGGGGTGCCCCCCGAGGCTCCGAGTCATACCTGCCATCTGTGTGTTCTCAGCAAAGTCACCGGGCTGTGCTGCTTGCAAAATGTCCCCCACTGGGGCTTGGGGTCACCCAGAGGGGTGGGTCATGTGGGCATCTGATGGTTGTTGACCCTGGGGGTCACTCTGCAGCCTTGACTGACTGGCAGGGTGGCAGTGTGTGTGTGTGTGTGTGTGTGTGTGTGTGTGATGTCATTGGCAGCGTGGCAGGCTTTGGGGCCCAGCTGGACTGCGATCAATACGGTTACTGTCATTACCTTCCCTTAGCACCCTTGTCTCCGTTTTACTGAGGAACAGACCAAGGCCTGGTGGGGGAAGCCCCTTGCCCTGGGCTCACCGGTCCCTCACAAGCACCGGCCTGGCATTTGCCAGGGCTTTCCCCTTGGGGCTGAGGGGCGTGGCACTGGAGCTGGGCAGGTGCCCTGGGTGGGCGTGGGTGGTGTTCCGTCAGATGTGGGAGTGCGCCCCGCCAAATTAGGCACGGGGGAGGGGGTGGCCCGTGGCTTCCACTTGGGCTCAAGCCAGTTGTCATTCTAAGCAGCAGACGAACACCCCGACACCCCCCAGCACCCCTTCACTTGCTGACTCAACGGGCAAACTCCTGGTCTAGGAGTGCTGTTCACCGGAGGTGTGTCCAGGCTCGCCCTGTGTGGCCCCTGGAGGCCCCCCCCCCACTGAGCCTTGAATTTCCGTGAATAGTAGGGAAATGGCATCTCCCATCTGGGTTTGTGGAACTGTGCGTAGGGGTGTTGGTGTTGAGGGAGCCAGGTGCCTTGTGCTCTGGGTTTCCTCTGGCCACCCTTGGTCCCACCTGTGCTGTCCAGCCTGGGTATGGCAGAGTGGCCCCAGGCCAGTTGCTGGGCGGGGGGAGAGGCAGGGCTCTGGGGCGGTGGGCAGGACGGGTGGCTGCTCTTCAGCTGCCTGATGGGCGCCCTTCTCTTTACAGGCGAGGCCTTCCTGGGCAGCTTTGTGGCCGGCGGCATGGGGCCCTCGGCCTCAGCCCATGGTAGCCCCTGCCCTCTGCCCTCTGACCTCTCCTTCCGCTCCCCCACCCCCAGCAACCTGCCCATGGTGCAGCTGTGGGCCGCCCACGCCCACGAAGGTAAGGAGTGGGCCAGGTGGGTGGGCTAAGCACTGGCGAGTAAACACCTCTGCCCCTCCAGGGTCACCTTATACCAGTTGAGGTGCGGCCACTGGGCCTCATCCTGGTACTAGTCCTGTATCCTCTGGGCTCTGTGGCTGGGCCTGCCTCCTGGCTAGTCCCAGAGACCTACACTGCTTCCTCCTGCCACAGGACCTTGGCACATACTACTTCTGTGGCTTGCAGCCCCCACCCCAACCTGGCCACCCTTTCTTCATCCCTCAGGGCTGAGCTCACAGGTCCAGCCCTCCAGGAGGTCTCCCATCCGCCTTGCTTGTACCGAGGACTTGGGGAATGTCTGATGCCCAAGAGTGGTGGTTCCCGTCGCTGCTGGCTGTCCCCGGCAGGCCCTGAGCTGCACTCCTACCGTGCTGCCGAGTGGAGGGCGAAGGGGGGTGGGGGATTTTGGAGCTTTGGTTTCCTGTCAGCACAGGGATCACCTTGACCCCTGTCCCCCATCGTGGCTCCGGCAGGTGTTGGGTGCTCACCTTTGTCTCCTAGGTTGCCTGGGTGTGCTCCTGGGTCTTGGAGGGTGCGCCCACCCTGGCTCACAGCCTTTCTGAGCCTCGGTGTGCTCCTTGGGTCTGTTTTACGGAGCCTTGGCAGTGTAGTGGGTTCCGCCTGGGCTGCTAACCACGTGGTCCGCTGTTTGAACCTGATCAGCCGCTCTGCCAGAGAAAGGTGAGGCTGTCTGGTCCCATAAAGATGGACAGCCCCAGGAATTCACGGGGGCCGTTCTGCTCGGTCCTATGGGGTCACTGTGAGTCAGAATGGACCCGACGCAGGGAGTCTGGTTTGGGGTCTGTCCAGAGAGCTCCTAGCATCTTCCTGTGCGGTGGGCAGGGCTGAGACATTCGGCCTGGAAGGAGCTAGCCCTGCCACCTGTTCCCCTCCTAAGTCAAACTGTCCACCGGACAGATGTGGCCACCAAGGCAGCCCCTCCGGGCTGAGGCTCCCTTCCCGGGGGCCCTCATTATCAGCTGCTGTTCTCACGTTGTCCTCTAGCTTGAGACGGCATCCCTTCTGCCCACATCCTGACTCATCACCCTCGATCCAGCCATCGAGCTGACCTATGCCAGCCCCTGCTGCCTGAGCCCTTCACTCCCCAGCAAGCCTCGTGAGAGCCGCGGCTAAGGCTGCCCAGGGGTGGACCGGGTTCCCACTGCTCGACACACTCTTATTGTTGCCAGCGGCAGGAGCGGGAGTGAGAACGCAGGCCCAGGGTGACAGGGGTGGCCCTTTGTCCCCTGGCCTCAGAGGGTGTGAGGGGGGCTCGGGAGACTCAGGTTCTCAGTGGTCTCCAGGAGCCCTTATAGGACCCGAGGCCCCTACATAGTACAAGGTACTCCCTTAGTGTCTCAGCACCCCAGCAACTACTTAGCTTCCACGGGACACCCTTGTCTGGCTTCCCGGCCCTGTGTGTCCCCTTAGACACTGTGCGGCCTTCTCTGTGGCCACTTTTCCGGGGCAGGGTGAAAACCCAGTGCTGTTGAGTCAGCTCTGACTCGGGGACCAGGAGGGCAGAACAGAAAAAACTGACGCGGTGGGATTTTCCAAGGCTGCCCTTTCTCGGAAGCAGGTTGCCACATCTCTCTTCCTGGGAGCACTTGAGTTTGAACCACCGAAATTTTGGCTAGCAGCTGAGTGCTTTGGCTGCTACAGTTTGTGTTAAACAAAACGAACACAAGACACAAGACAAAACCCAACTGAGCAAACCCACCCCCCTGCCACACAGCCAGTTCGACACATAACCCCCAGCGACCCTTTCTGGGTTCCTGAGACTTATCAGTCTTTACGGGAGCAGACAGCCTCATCACCTGTGGAGGGGCTGGTGGGTGTGAACCACCGACCTTGTGATGAGCAGCCCACAGCCTGACCCACATCCCCACCAGGGCTCCTTACTACAGTTAGGGCTTAAACTCATTGACTACTCTCCAGTCGCTTCTGATCCATAGGGCAGAGTAGAACTGCCTCTGAGTTTCCAAGGCTGTACATCTTTTTTTGGGAGCAGCAAGCCCCATCTTTCTCTCCTGCAGTGGCAGGTGGTTTGGAATTGCTGACATAGTTCACTGGGCCTCTTGGTAAGGTTTTGAATTCCTCCTAGGGAGACCCAGCAGGGGGAGGTGCTGAGTTCCTTACGCCGGATCTGGGCAGGGTCGCACTGGGGCAGCCAGAACCACACAGCTAGGCTCGGCAGTCTAGGGACCCGGGTTCGAAACCTCCCTTCTCTGTTGTGTGACTTTGGGTAAGCTAGACTCGGCGTTCTTATCGGGCCCGAGGTGCCAGAAGAGCTATTGTATTTTCCTCTTGGTTGGAGCCACAGGACCCTCTCCCTGTGGAACCCACCAAGCAGCTGCCTGGGCAGAGGGAGTCTTGGAGTGCTGGCAGGGCAGGAGCTGCCCATCATTGCCAGAATTCTTCCGCCTAGAGGCCCAGAGCCTGAAGCGTCCTGTTTCTAAGGAACAGAAAGGGCTGACAGAAGTGCCTCCTGACCCACCTTTCTCTTTTCTCTTGCAGGCTTCTCCCACCTGCCCAGCGGGCTGTACCCATCCTACCTCCACCTGAACCACCTGGAGCCTCCCAGCAGCGGGAGCCCCCTCCTCAGCCAGCTGGGCCAGCCCAGCATTTTCGATACCCAGAAAGGTCAGGAGTGGGTGAAACTGGGGCCCCAAGGAGAGGGCAGTGGTTGGGGTTGGGGAGTCTATGTGTGTGTTATCTCAGACAAAATGCATCCCTGCTCTGCTTTGCAAAAGCCCTAGACTCTCAAGGGACCCCCAATTTAGGCTCTCTGAGCATTAAGTACTAGACACAAGCAGGGCCTCTTCCCATTTGACAGGAGGGCAAACAGGGTCAGAGAGGCCTCAGGGGGTTAAGGCCACCCCATTTCCAGAGTCTGCCCCCTCGGGGGCAGTGCTGCCTCCCTCGCCCCAGGCTCACGCTGTGCTCCCCTCCACAGACGGCTTCTACCTGCCTGCTCCCGGGGCGCCGGGCGCCCTGCACCCCCACACGCCCTCCAGGACCCCGAGCGGCCTCCACAAAAGCTCGTCCTCAGTGTCTCGGGAAGGGGCCATCAAGGAACGAACTGGCCGCGGCGGAGAGCCGCCCCCACTGTTCGGCAAGAAGGACCCCCGGGCCCGCGAGGAGGCCGCAGCGGCAGGGCCGCGCAGCGTCGTGGATCTGACCCAAGAGGC